TGGACACCAGCCTGGCAGCTGTGAAGAAAGATTTTGACATACTACAACATGGGTGGACCAAAGGGACAGTGGGCAATGTGAAATCAGCCAGTCCAAAAGGGCCGGACCTGGGGGATGGGGGAGTGCAGGGACTGTCTTCCGGAGAGCTGACCAGTGAAGGAGTAGAAATAAGCTTTAAATAGAAACAAGACGTTTGCTGAGCATCTACCATACACTCAGCACTTCCTGCAGTGGGGCTGCATCCTATGGAGAAGGATACAGGACGGACGAGTGAATGAACAGGAATAGATCAGGTGGAGGAAGGCAGACAGGGTGGAGGTGCGTATGAGTAAGGAAGTGTGGGAGTTCCTGGGGGATTAGAAGGCGACACCAGAAGCACTGGAATAAGAGGCCATAGCTGAGCCCTCAGGCCCTTTCTGAACATAGGTGCAGGAGACACAGGACTTGCAGCTCAATGTGGGGATGAGGAGGGAAGGCCACTGAGTAAATTTGGACTCGGGGCCTTGTGGGACTCAGTAAGAGCTACAGTAATCCTTTCCTGGGGCAAAGCCCCCAATGACTTACCACCTCCTTGTGGTGACTTACCACCACCTCAGGGTTCAGCCAGATTCACATCAATCACACTGGCAGCCAAGATTTTAGCATGTGAACCACTGGGGACACAATGAAGCCATTTCTACACAGCAGTGGCCTGGCATGTGTAGAGATCCCCCTCAAGATTAGGAACTCTTAGGGCACCACGAGGTGTGGACGCCTTTGTGAGTTGGTGGAGGAGAAGATGCCTCTGATCAGGGCAAGAGTGGGTGTCCCTATCATCCGGTGTTTGCTAAAGGGGCCTCAGGGGTTGGCCACCCCATCCATCTCCCCCAAGGTGGTTCTGAAGCCAAATCACCTACCCTTAACTGAGGGTTTGGTCTGGGGCAGGCTCTGTATCAGATGGTCTACCTGGAGGATGGGGTCTTCTTACCTCAAGTCATTTCTCCCCAGAAAAGGCCACTTCCTATGTCATTGGACTGAAATAATTATGGTGTACAAACATAAATATTATGTCCATTTTAATAAATATCAATTATATTTACTTCCCCTATAAACACCAGGGCATCATTAGCTGTTAGTAGCAATTCTTCACAGCCCAAGCAGGGCTGTAAACTATCGGGACTCCCTGAGTAACCACCACCCTCCCTGCCTCCTCCAGGATGTGACACTATGAATGTGCCCAAGCCATCTTTCAATCTTATGAAGCCAAGCTTGATGGGCAGGAGGGAGCCTCTAACATCTTCTTGTCCAGACTGTACCAGGTGCCCCAGTGTCTCTCACAAGACTATAGGGAAGTGTCCACCCAGGCCTTGCCTATAAACATCATAGACTCTCACCTCTCCCAAGGGTGCTCTTGGTATCCTCAAGACACCTGCGGCTGTTTAAATTGGAAAGATCACCAGAAGGGCAGAGTATGACTCAGTAACACGATGGGCCCAGGGGACCTTGGACGAGTCACTGCTTGTCTCTAAGCCTCAGTGTCCTCGCCTATAAAAATAGGGACTTTTTTTCTTTTTTCGGTCTTTTTGAGGCAGGGTCTCCCTGTAGCCCCAGCTGGCCTGGAACTCACTGTGTAGAGCAGCCTGGCCTTGAACTCACAGAGATCCGACTGCCTCTACCTCCGAGTGCTGGGATCAAAGGCGTGCACCACCACGCCCAGCCTAAAATAGGGACTTTTTCAGTCAGGGGTCAGAACCCAAGGCCTTGCAGGTCCTAGGTATTTATTCTATTGTTATAACCCCAGCTTTTGTTTTTGCTTGAGACAGGGTCTCATGTAGTTCAGGCTAGCCTCAAATTTGCTATGTAGGTGCTGGGCATGGTGATACATGCCTTTGATCCCAGCACTTGGGAGGCAGAAGCAGGAGGACCTTTGTGAGTTCAAGCCCAGCCTGGTCTACATAGTGAGTTCCAGGCAAGCCTGGTCTACATAGTGAGTTCCAGGCCAGCCAGCTGGGGCTACAGGTAGACTCTGTCTCAAAAAGACCAAAAAGAAAAAAAATTGCTATGTAGCCAAGGATTGCCATGAACTTCTTATCCTCCTGCATCTACCTCCTGATTGCTGGAATTATGGGCATGTACCACCATGCCCAGTCTATCTGGTGCTGGGGATTAGTCCCAGGGTATCATGCATGCTATGCAGGCACTCTACCAACCAAGCTACATCTACAGACGTTGTATTTTTTGAGAAAGGTCTGACTCTGTAGCCAAGGCTAGCCTGGAATTCAGTGTGTAACCCAGGTTGACTTCAAACTTACATTGATCTTCCTTCCTTACCCTCCCAAGTGCTGGGATTATGGGGGTGAGCCACCATTCCTAGGTTCCAATCCTTTTGGTTCCAATCCTTTTAATTAATTGATTAATTAATTAATAATTTTATCTCCCTTCCTTCCTCCCTCCCTCCTTCTCTCTCTCTCTTTTCTTTTCTTTTCGTCTTTCTTGGGTCTTGCTATGTAGCCCAGTCTGGCCTCAGACTTACTATAGTACTCCTGCCTCTGCCTCCTGAATGCTAGGATTACAGGTATGAGCCAACATGCCTGGTGCTTATTTTTATTTGGAGACAGGGTCTTGCTTATGTTGCCAGACTATCCTTGAACTCTTGATCCTCTTACCTCAGCCTCCCAAGTAGCTGGACTTACAAGTGTACACTCCCATGCCTGGCTTAAACTGAAGACTTTTGGAGTGCTAAGTGAAGCTGTAATGAAGCAATGTAAGTAGTTCCTTTTTTTTTTATTTAAAAAATTTTTTTCCCGTAATTTCACTTTTTTTTTTTTTTTTTGGTCTTTTTGAAACAGGGTCTCCCTGTAGCCTCAGCTGTCCTGGAACTCACTATGTAGACCAGGCTGGCCTTGAACTCACAGAGATCTGCCTGCCTCTGCCTCCCAAGTGCTGGGATTAAAGGCGTGTGCCACCACGCCTGGCATAAATAGTTCTTTTTAAAAGTCTTTAATTTATTATTATTGTGTGAGTATATATATGGTGTGTATGTGTGTGTGTGTGTGTGTGTGTGTGTGAGACTGCAGGCACACATGTGCCACAGCCTGAGTATGCAGGTCAGAGGTCAACTTTGTGGCGTTAGTTCTTTCCTTTCACCTTCAAATGGGTTCTAAGGATCAAACTCAAGTCATGAGGTTTATGTGGCAGGTGCTTCAGTCTGATGAGCCATCTTGCCAGCCCTGTAAGTACAAGTTCGTAGCACAGTCCCTGAACAGTGTACACAGTAGGTGCTCAATGCAAGCATCCTCCACTATTCATCTGGAGACTGAGAGGCTCCTGGAGGGTAATTCCAGGATGCAGTGCCAACTCCTAGGGCACTCTCTGCTCTACCTTGCAGTTGAAGAAACTGAGGCTTGATGACTACCTGAAGTTTGCCAGCTGCAGCCAGATGTGGCTCTTGGTACTATATAAACCTGCAACTTCTCAGGCACTAAAGACACTTTTAGGGGTCAGTGGCAGGCCACCAGAGGGATCTTTCTCTTCCTCCTTCAGAGGTTCTGGGAATGCAGCAAGGAGAGGCAGAAATTCTGTAAGGGGCACAGCTGCCCCCCAAGTCACTCAGCCTCAGCCACAGTCACCCAGAGTCCAGTTTCTTCTTCTGTGGCAAGATTCTTCAGACAGCTAGGGATTCAATTCCTAAACTGTGGTCCTGCCTAGTGACCATCTTCACACTGAGATTCAACCTAGACCCAAGCATCTCCAGGGCCAGGAGCGTCTATAGTTTGACTTGAACCCAACATGAGCTCAATCGAAACTGGTGATTAGATGGATTAATTACTCCACAGTGAACTCACACAGGCATACACTGTCCATCAGCCTTCTGAGCAAACTCTAAGCTCTTTGTCACAGCATGGAAGGCCTGGCTTATCTATGCTCTGTACACAGATATGCACACTCTGACCCTCTAAAGTCACCTGGACTCCTCCAGGCATTCCCTACTACTTTCGGTTTCTCCATGCACTATGACCTTTCCTGCCTTAGGACCTTTGTATGAGTGTACTGCTCCCAGAGACTGATACACACCTGATCCTGCCTCTCTTTCTCATTGGGAAGAGAGGGCTTGCTCCTTCCCTTCCCTTCCCTTCCCTTCCCTTCCCTTCCCTTCCCTTCCCTT